TGAAATGGATATTTTTTTGCAGTAAACGCAGAATACAATAAGTTCCTTAACGCTATTGTGTACATCACAATGTGTGTAGTGGTGTGTGGACATAATAAATTCCTTTGAAAAAAATTCTTCAAAACAAAATTCAATAACTATTAATCAACGAAGCAAACAATTTGTATTTTTCCTTTTTAAATCATAAAAAAAAATATCATCTTTTATCGGTCAGATAAACACATATTTGCGAGAGATAAAGAAAATAAGTGTTGTGATCAAGTGTAAATTTTTTTTTTAAATATTAAAGTTTGATGGCTAAAAATTTCAAACAAAGCTGTTATTATGGTGAAGAAAAATATGAATTTTGTTTTTTTTCAGGAACTATTCTGGTTATATTTGATGAATAATTTTCATTTTTCTCCTGATGGCACAAGTTTCGATGAAGCGTTATTTATTTATTTATTTATTTTTTTTAATAAAAATTTTCAAGTTTTACAGTTGAACAACAACGATTATTGGTCATCGGTCAGAAAGGCAAAAGGGCAATATGGTAAAATTCCAGACTATCCATGCATTCATCAGTTGAATTTTTTCTATTTCATTCCGATTCGATTCATATTTTTTTTTGTTTTGTCATTTTTCAAAATGATTTTTCATATTGAAAATTTCAAAATTTCAAAATTCAAAATAAATGTTACACTTGTAACAATTGGCTTCAAGCCTAACCCAAATAAATCTTTTTAGTCGATTCTTTTCTTTTTTTTATTTTACTGTGAATCATATTTATCTGTTTTGTTGTTGTTGTTTTTCATTGATTTCATCAGATATACAAGTATAAGGTGGTAAACATCCAAACCAAAAATATCAAATAAATTTTGGGCCAACATTTGGTACCTTTATCGCATTTTATTTCATTTTAAACCAAAAAAAAAAAATGACCACAGATAAAATCCAAATAAATAAAAGAACAACAACAACTGGAAAATTTCCAAAACTTTGAACGCCTTTTAAATGTCGAATTATCTCCCCTTCTTTTTTTTCGGGTTTTGTGAAAAAAATTCATGTTTTTTTTGCGATTTTAAAATTGAATTTATTTATTTTTTTCATGTTTTTCAATTTCATTTTTTTTTCGGGTTGTAGTTTTTTGTTCACTCTCTTCTTTAATGTGTACATTTTGATTATTGAACACAACGGCTGCTGCTGCTGTGTTCAATATGTTTCTATGATGATATAAACGTAATGCGATCATTTATCGACGAATTCCAAGAATTGAACAGCAGAAAAAAAATTATCATATATGGAAAATATGTTTTGAATTTTTGATTTCGCCAAATTTGGCCCATTTGATTTATTGGGTAAAAATGTTCACTATGTTACTTGTGTGTGTGTGTTTGGACATCATATCATGTGGTTAAATATTCAACAAACAGAAAAAAAAATCAAAGGTCATTATTAATAGTGAAGCCATTTGTAATTGATGATGATGATGATTGGAGAGAAAGTGACAAACAAAAAAAAACCGGAAAATAACAAACAAATTCAATCAACCACAAAGCATCTCATAACCATAATCGTTAATCAACGAGAAAAAAAAAATTATAAAATTTTATTTTTAGTTAAATCAATTGATCAACTACTCTTTTTTTCCTATTTCGCTTCTGATCGCTTCTGATAGTTGTTTATTTGGCAAAAGCATTATTAGATAGTAATAGTTATAATGTAACTAAAAACTAAAGAAAATGATACATTTGTATAGTGAAGAAGAAAATAAAGGGATTGAAAATTAATTTCAATCATAATAATCAATGCCGATTTTGACAACACACACACAAGATTGGAAAAATATCGTATCAAAAATCCTTTCACTTAATCTTATGGGCCATATGCGATATATTTATGACCAAAAAATACTTGAATAAATTGATTTGGAGAAAACATCAGCCAATAAGAATCAAAAGAAAAAAAATCAAACATCAACGACGAACACATACAAAATATCAAAATAAAATAAAAAATGAAGGCAAGATTTGCAAACTTCAGCAAATTGATAAGTTAACTCGCTCTCGTTTCAGTGATGCTTATTGATTCTCTCGGATTGATCTTAACCAAAAATATACCATACCATATATTGGCACATTCAAACACTTTTCTTTCTTTTCTGGTTATCACAAGTTAATCGGTAAAACTTGTAAAATAGAAAAAAAATATATTTAAATCTGGTTAGTATAATCAATGAGAAAAAAAAAATTTTTTGACAACAACCAGAAAAAGATAAATTTGAAATATTTCTGAAAGCAAAAGTGAAAACCTGCCACGAACTTGACCACAATAATAATTACATTGGATTTAAAATGAAAAAAAAACTTTGATCGAAGGGAAAAAACCAATATATTTTAATCATTCCTAAAGATGTTATGATCATGATATGAAAAGAGCAATAGATAAATAGATACATTTGAAAAATTGATTGGAAAAAAAACATTTCAATTGAATTACATGAACTAAAAACCAAAAAAAAAAATATAACATAGTAACATTGCACAGAAGAAGAAAAAAATATCAGATATGCTGATCGAATATACAAATCGAATCATAAATGATCTGAAATGATCGGTTTTTTTCTTGTTGTTAGAATCGATTGCAGACTAAATTAAAAATCGAAAGTGTATATACAAACAAACAAACCAAAAAATTTATGTCAATCCTTTATGGCCTAGAAGTATAAATATATTTATCAAAGAGTTTTTTTTTCAATTTAATCATTCATTTTTTTACAATTTTCTTTTTGTTGTTTTCAATCAATCTCAATAAATAAACTCAAAATAAACTTTGATATTTTTCTTTTGTTTTTTTTTTCGTTAAAATCAACGACTACTATACAATAAACACAGTACACGCATCAAAATATGAAAAAGAAAATTCAAATTTCTTATCATTTTGGGCGTTAAAGGCTTTAGCTAAAACAGGAATAAAAGTTTTTCGTTGTTTATCAATGGAAAGAAGATAACAAGATACCATACACACACACAGAAAAAACGAATGAATACTGAATACATCGTAATAATAATTTTTTTTCGAGTGTTTTGATTCAATCGATTTTTTTTAATAATGACAATTATGTTTTCAATAATGAAATTTTTTCTGTTTTGGTTTTGTTTTGTTCACAAGGGTTAATTATTAATTTTCTTTTTTTTAAACATTGTTTCGATTCTTCATTTGTTTTTTTCCCCCAATCAAAATTTTCTTCCTTTTGTGTATGTGTGTTGTTGTTGGTTGTCCACGCGCACATGTACATCAAAAAAAATATTAATTTCTTTTTTCATATATCGTCGATATCGTAGTCAATCACCAATGAATGTAAGTATCACAAAGTATCCATTGAGAAATGAGTTAAGGAAAAAAAAATACGATTCGATAATATTCTCCCCTTCCAACTTTTCTTTTTCAACAAAACTTTTTTCCCCTTAGATTTAAATAAGAAAAAAAAACATATACTCTGTTTTTTTCTCCACTATAACAATTGGATTTCGATCATCATCATCATCATCATTGACATCATGATGAATATCCTACCATCATAGTACCCATTAACCATTAGCATAGCAACGTCAAAATGATTATTATGATCATGATGTTGATGTTGATCATGATGTTGATGATGGTGATCATGAAATTATTTAAAAAGGCCAAACTTTTCATCAATTGAATCAATCAATCAATCATTAAATCGATCATCATATACCTCATTTAGTTTGATTTTATATTAGAATTTCTTTAAACAAAAAACAAAATCATTAATCAATTTTTATTTATTTTGATCTCATTGTTAATTTTTTATTTATTTATTTATCCTTTTGGCCAAAAATTTTTTAATGAAACATCTTTTTGACGAAAGACGAAAATAATTTTCATTATTGACAATCGATTTATCATCGTACAACCCGTAAAATGCATTCACAAACAATTAAGGTAAATAATCCTTTCTTTCTTTTCTGTTTTATTGATGCGCACGATTTTTTTTGTGTGTTCAATTTTTTCATATTTTTTTTGCTGAATATGAAAATGAAAAAAATGTCAAAATGATTGTTACCGCCTTTTATGACACTGACCATACACACATATTATATATGTGTAGACATAAAAAGAGATTGTGAACAAAATGCCATATGTGTGTTTTCCAAATGAAACACAAATGAATATATGATGATTTGTGGATAAAGATAAAAATGATTTAAGCGCGCGCACATCTAACGTGTGTGTATCGGAATTCTTTTCAGTAAATCTTATTCTTGTGTTACAGAAAAAAAAACAACAACAATGTTTTCATTTGCCATTCAGTATTTAGACACAGAATCGACATGTTTTTGTGTGTGTGTGTGTATGTGCAATATATACGATTCCATTTTTTTTCAATAAAAATTCAGGTATAATCAACAAATTGTAAATCAAGTTTTTAACAACGATATAAACAAACAAAAACATTTGATTTCAGAATGAATGAATGATTGAATTTGTTTGGATTTTTTTCTTCTGAGAACAACTCATCACTGTTGTTGTATTTCACTTTTTAGTTCAGTCAGCTATTCTTGATTCATTTGAATTTTTTTTTTGTTTTGTTTTTGTTCACTTTATTCTTTTGCTCTCGTCACCAGTCATCATTTCCATATCAGTCTATTGTTAGCATCCAAACCATCAACATGTTGGTGTACTATGCTATATGTATGTTTGGATAAACAACCAAACACATATTCGGATTTCTTTACAATGTTTTTAGAAAAATTTTCTTTATACAAAAAACTTCGGGTGAAAATTGTTAAATTTTTTTCTGGTGTTTGTGTGTGTTTCAAACTATTGAAAAAAAAACAATTTTTGAATTAAATTGAATTGAAATTCTTAAATTGTCTCTGATTATGATGATGATTTTTAATGATTTAGTGTTGTGTGTGTGTGTGACAAATTCTAAAATTCAAAATATGTTTCTGTCTGTTTTTCATGTCATTTTTTTTCTTCTAAATGTCTGATAATATCTTCATCAGCTGACAGCTTTAAAAAAAATGAGACATCATTTAACATCATTGATTTTGTTATCATTGTCATCGTTGTCGTTTTGTCGTCGTCATACGTGATTCGCATATGACGACACTGATTTGTAAGTATTTTTTTTGTTTGTTAAACATTATGGCACTAAGAGAAAATGCAAAAGTGAAAACAATTTAAAATCTCGTAAAATATTGAATCTTGTGAATTTTTTTTTTGAATTGAATGAAATGTTTTCACTGCAGAAGCTAAAAACGAAACAAAACAAAACTGGTCGATTATCGACTATAAATCAACAAAACGCGGATCAAAACATTGATTTGACCATAACGGTAATATTACGTATTCGTTAGTGTATTTTTTCGTGTACATGATTTTTACATTTTTGACAAAAAAAAAGTTTGACATTTTTAGCAAACAAACAAAACAGAATAATACAGAATCATTTTTTACTGTGGGTGTTAGTTTGAGAAAAAAAAATAGTAAGTGTGAACAAACAAAATCTCAAGTTGGAATCTTTGTTTTTTGTTTTGTTTTGTTCGTTTTTTTGTTCGCATTTACTTTTTACTTTTACTTATCGCTTGAATTGAATCTAAAATATTTTTTTTTCTGGATCAAGTTGTTGATGGGTTCATTTATTTATTTTTCCAATCGTTTTAGTGTTGTCATTTTTCTTTTACTTTTTTTTAAAAAAAAAAGAAAAATTGTTTAATATTTGTTTTTTCACTTGATCACACACTTGATTCTTATAAATCCTCGATTACATTGTTGTTACATTTCATTTTTCTCTACTTTTTTTTCTCTTTATTTAAGAGATAAGCTGGCCACTTTAAAGTTTCATAGAAAAGTTTGCTGTTTTTTTAAATTCTGTTTACGATTTATTGTGTAACAAACAGATATTATTTGATAGAAAATGAAAAAATTCGCTTCACACCTAACAACTACATGCAATGTGTGAATGAAAAATTCATTTGATTAACTTGAACAAATTCTTGATGATGATTATGTGTTAATAATTTAAAATTCTTTGAAAAAAAAGTATTTTTTGCTGAGAGATGATGAAAATCACAAAAATCAAAAGTTTCAATTGATTAAATTTCTTCTTTTTTTTTTAAAAAAAAACATGATTGAATTTTTTTTTTTTTTTTTTTTAATTTTTAATTTTTTCCCATTTTTTAATTTTCATTTTTATGTTTTTTTTTTTTTTT